TGAGGGGCGGTGAGTGTGGTGGTGGAGTGGTGGTGAGTGGCGGTGAGGGAGCGGTGAAGGGGTGGTGAAAAGCCGTGAGGGGCGGTGAGAGGTGGTGAAGGGCGGTGTGAAGGGTGGTGAGGGCGGTGAAGGGTGGTGAGGGGCGGTGAAGGGGTGGTGAGGGGGCGGTGAGTGGCGGTGAAGGGTGGTGAAGGGCCAAGTGAGGGGCAGCGGTGAGAGGTGGTGAAGGGCGGTGAAGGGTGGTGAGGGGGCCATGAGGGGTGGTGAGGAGCGGTGAGGGGGCTGTGAGGAGTGGTGAGGAGTGGTGAGGGGCCGTGAGGGGTGACGAAGAGTGATGAGGGTGGGTAGGGGTGATGAGTGATGGGGGAAGGGTGGTGAGAGGCAGTGGGGAGTGGTGATGGGCAGTGGGGAGGTGGTGAGGGCGGAGAGGTGCAGTGAGGGAGGTGGTGAGGGGCAATAAGGAGTAGTGAGGGCAGTAGGAGGTAGTGAGGGGTGGTGAGGGGCCGTGAGAGGTGGTGAGGGGCAGTGAGGGGCAGTGAGGGGAGAGGTGAGGGGGCAGTAAGAGGTAGTATGGGGCAGTAAGAGGTAGTGAGGCTGTAAGTAGTGAGGGGCAGTAGAGGTTGTGAGGGGCAGTAAGGGGTTGTGTGGGGCAGTAAGAGGTAGTGAGGGGCAGTAAAAGAGGTTGTGAGGGGCAGTAGAGGTTGTGTGGGGCAGTAAGAGGTAGTGAGGGGCAAGTAGAGGTAGTGTGTGGGGCAGTAAGAGGTTGTGAGGGGCAGTAAAAGGTTGTGAGGGGGGCAGTGGGGGTTGTGAGGGGCAGTAAGAGGTTGTGAGGGGCAGTAGAGGTTGTGAGGGGCAGTAAGAGGTTGTGAGGGGGCAGTAGAGGTTGTGTGCAAGGGCAGTAAGAGGTTGTGTGTGGGGCAGTAAGAGGTTGTGAGGGCAGTAAGAGGTTGTGAGGGGCAGTAAGAGGTTGTGAGGGGCAGTAAGAGGTTGTGAGGGGCAGTAAGAGGTTGTGAGGGGCAGTAAGAGGTTGTGAGGGATGGTGAGGGGTGATGAGGGATTGTGAGGGGTGATGAGGGATGGTGATGGGTGATGAGGGGTAATAATGGGTGATGAGGGGTGATAAGGGGCCGTGAGATGTGATGAGGAGCGGTGAGGGGCGGCGGAACCTCCTGATGGACAACTGCTGTCACCACCCACTTGCTAATGGTTCTTGCCTTATCTCTCTCTGCCTCCCTCCTTCCCCACCCACTCTACCTCCCTCCCTCCCCACCAACTCTACCTCCCTCCCCACTCCCTCTACCTCCCTCCCTCCCCACCCACTAGAATAGGTAACGAAGATATTATATATGCAGATGATATCACTCAAATAACATCACATCAAGGAAAATCGCGAGCGTTACAGGCCGACAACACCAGGCGGGAATTAGAAAGGGTAAATAATTACAAAAAACAATGGAAAATCCAAATCAGTCTCCCGAAAGTCACAGTGATACCCTTATGCAGAAGGAAAACCCATCCATTAGTAACCAATAATGCCCAGATAGAATACAAAAGCAGAGGCACCCTCCTGGGCCTGCATATATCCACGACAGGTTACTCCCATCATGTCCACAGCAGGAAGGAAAAACAATTAGAGAGCTGAGAAAACTATACTGCTTTAAAGCGCTTCCTGAGAAAATAAAACTCCGCCTGGTGACATCATTTATCACACCGATATTAACTTACCCAGCAATACCTCTTCATACTATGAGCACCACTCAAATATTAAAATTACAGGTGGTCCAAAATGAAGCCCTAAGATTCGTCACAGGTGAAAGATACCCCTTCACCAGAACCACAGCCGAGATACATAGAGACCTGAGAATGAAACCCATCAACCAGCAGCTGCACACCCTGGCCAGCAGAATCTGGCTAAAGATAGAACGATCAGGGCAAGAACTCCTTCAAAGACTCCCACCAGATAACGACAACAACCATCCATGGTTCCCAAAAATTAACCAAATCTCAAAAGGTCCATTACCACCCCCGATCTACACGGCCAGGCAATAGACAACCTCCCTAGACCAGCATCCGCCAGTAGGGTCGGCGGAATATGAAATAAGGCCCACAAAATACCCATATATGGGACAAGGTAGGATGTCTAGTGCCTGTACCGACAGACAATAACTAACCCATGACACAACCCTAAAGCCCCGTCCACACGATCGAGCACTGCCCGACGGGCACTCGCTTAATGCCCGTTGTTCGCTTAATGCCCGTTGTTCGGGCAAAATTGACGGGCAAACCAACGGAGTGCCCATGCCCGTGGTCGAGCGTAATCACCAGATAAGGGCGTCTGCCTGGTGGTTTGACCGTTTGCTGCTGGGTATGGATGGACGACCCTGCCAGACAAACGAAGTTAACCTTGGAACCCTGGCTGCCAGTTTTTCAGTCTCGCCACAAGTCACCATTGGAAAATGTCTGTTCTTCCGTCCGCCACAGACCAAGGAAACATTCATTGGTCTAGAGAAGAGACCAAGGTGTTGATTGAACTCTATCGTCAGCACCCTTGTCTATGAAATGTCAAAGTGGACATGTACAGGGATAGGGACAAACGCGCAGCGGCACTAAGACAGATTACAGAGGACATGAATAGAAGCGGGACTACAGTTACCACAAGTGATGTGAAGAGAAAAATTGAATCACTTCGAAATCAGCATAGACGGGAACTAAGAAAGATGCAAAAATCATAAAGTCTGGAGCTGGAACTGAGGACATTTATATTCCCACATTATGGTGCTTTGATGCACTTCATTTTCATTGATGGTGACACAATTCAACAATCTGTGTCTAACATGGATACTCACACTACAGAAGAGATGTCTGAGGTACATTCTGATCACGTGGTACGTATGCAAGCGTTCTGTCTCTCTGTGTATTGTACGTCATATGTATGTATATATTTTTGTGTGTCACTATTAACAAAGGGCTTGTGTATTTTTTTTTATTTATAGATATTCAACGATCCGCTACTGCTGGGACTTGATGATAATCCACCAGCCACTGTCACTGGTTCACCCACGCCTACCGTCTCTCGTATGGCTACGCCGACTGTCTATCGTTCGGCTGCAGAATCGAATACTCGTGAACCCTCACCCACACCGTCAACAAGTAAACGATCGACCAAAAGGGTTTCTGACGATGCTGATAATATCCTGAAAGAGGCCCTCCACCACCTGCAGTCATTATCTTCCTCCGAAAATATTATAAATGATGCAGACTGATTTTGGTCAGGTTGTTGCTAACGATCTTCGACAGATGAGCGGTGAAAATAAAATACATGCTCAGAAGCTTATTTATGAGATCCTTTATCTGGGGAAACTAGGTAGGCTTTCCTCCTCAACGACTATAATGTAAGGGTCATTTATTGAATGAGGGTGTTGGACACGCGTACTTATTATAACTATCGATGCGTCATTAGTGGCAAACAGTGATAACTGTTGTTAAAACATACTCTAGTATTTTATTTTTATTGACGAATATGCATGTTGGTTTGGTTTACATGTCTTTATTGTTTGGAGTGGGTCTTCAGATATTTAATTTAAGACTACATACGCTAGGGAGTATGTAATTATGTTAAATACAGTGTATAATAAGTTGTCTATACCGTTTTGGAAGCAATCTTGTGTCCTAAACAGGTCCATCATGTATCATGTGTATGGAGGGTTATCCCCTTTTACAAAAACCATGTTATTTTCATTAATAATCGATAAAAACCGGAAACCCTTCTAAGCCTACTATATCACATAATAAGACATGTGTTACCATGGGAACCTCTCGTGACCGTCAAAATTGAATAACTATGTATACTACAAATCTCAGCTGCAAGTAATCCTCCTTGAGTACTTCATATATGGCTTGACAAGTTGCAGGTATTATGGTAGACAAACTTTGTTTTGATATCCTCGTTGTATACTGAAGCGACGTGTAGGAGCACCCAGTTGAAAGAAATATGAGCGTAGCCTCTAGACGAGCCTCTGGAGATATGCTCTGCCTCATAATGGTATCTTGTTTTTTTATGTATGGTTCCAATTTAGCGAGAAATCTATAGAAGGTGTTGGGGTCCATTCTCATGTAGTTAGTGAAGTCTTTCTCATGTTCACCTTGCAGTTCACGTAAAATCGTGGCATGACTTCCCTTAACTTTTCGTTGAGATAACCATTCCTTGCACCATTCCCTTTTCTGTTTTTTCTTCTTTTTGCACACTGTAGCAATTATTATACACAGCGCTTTAGTCTTCGATTTTACTGTCCTGCGACACACCATGGTGATCGTACCGCAGCAGCTACTGCTGACCTCCTACTAGCTACCAGCGGCAGAGTGTGACTGCTGCCAACCAGCACCTCCGTGTGTACGACGACACACAGGCTTTGCCTGGTAAACGGGCAAAGTCCACCGGGCACTGTTCGATCGTGTGGACGGGGCTTTACACTATTAACTTAGCTAGGCGGTCAGCCCGCCCTCTCTTACCCCCTCCTATTTTTTTTTTTCAATTTCCTTACTCTAACTTCCTTCCTCCACCGCTAATCTTCTTTCACCCCTCCTTTCTCTACAAAAAAAAACACTACCTCCCTCCCTCACTCTTCATCAATGTCATCAGTAATTATAAACTCACACCAACAAAAATATTTATATTACCATATTCATCACCTTCATCATCATCATCGTTTTCATTATCATCATCATCAATAATCCATCATCATCATCAATAACCTCTCATCATCATCAATAACCTATCATCATCAATAACCTATTATTATCATCTAGTTAAGGCATTTTCAAGTGTAATTTCCGGCACCATCATTGGACGTAAGATCTGTGCTATTAACTTACACCAACCAAAGAGATACAGTCTTACCTCTCCAACCGCGAGAAAAAAATATTGGGTCCCAGAAATTTTGTGAATCCCTGAGGAGGTAAAAAGAGTTACAACAACAATAATAAATAACAACAACACTGACCTTGGTGAGCGGGTTGGGACACACGCCAGCGCAGAAGAAGGCGTCGAAGGAGGAGGGAGCCACGATGAAACGATCCCATCCCAGGTCCTTGAAGTTTACCCCTAGTTTGTGTCTCTCACAGGCCCGCGCCCCGACTGCCAGCCCAGACGAGCCCAGGGAGTTGGCCTCGTTGCTCAGTGTGTTCTGTTGACCGGGGGAAACAAGGTGAGACATAAATAGATAGACTTGGTAATTATAAAAACGCTGTAGTTAGTTGGTGTACAAGACGCTAGGAGGCGGGCGTGTTGGTCAGTCGTCAGCTGCTGAGTTTACGTTTTCTACCATCCTGGATTTCGGACTGAAGCCATTTTAGGAAATTTCGTTCTTAGTCTTTGCTCTGAGTCAGCCAGTTAAATACGTTTATATATCTAGGAGGAAAATTTTCATGTAAGAATCTTTGAGAACATCATCCAATCATCCGTTTATTCACTCAACCGCTCATCCAGTCATTTCATTCATTCAATCATCCAGCAACTCAACCATCCAATTACCTAATCATCAAATAATCACTCATCCAGTCATCCATCTCACATGTAACAGTCATCCAGCTCACCTCAGCTACAAATATCGTCATGTACCTCAGCTGTCACAATCATCCAGTCATCCACCTCACCTGTCACAATCATCCAGTCATCCACCTTACCTGTCACAATCATCCAGTCATCCACCTCACCTGAGCCACGGCCATCCACTCCTCAGGCAGGCGACGGTTCCTGCGCCTCCTCCTCCTTCGCCTGCGCCGCCGATCGTTCTTGAGGCGCGTATCTTCGCCCCACTTGGTCTTGGAGTAGTTCTTGGGCAGCGGAATAAGGTTGTCCTTTCTGCCTCGGCGTCGTTGTTTACGCTGAAGGCGACGCTGACGGCGTTCCTCCCGCTCCTCTTCCCTCTCCACCTCCTGAAGGGGGTTAACAATAATAATAATAATAATTATAATAATTATAATTATGAATGGGTTATTGAAAGAGCATTGCAGCCCAAAAGCTGAAAATATACAGTTATATAACTGGGGGATGGGTCACTTGATTAACAAATAATATACAGGTGACGTAAGTGATATAAATATGATATTTTAATATCTGGGTGGGGAGCAGGTCATATACTACAGGGCATTTCTAAATAGTAACAGTGCAAAAATAGGATTGGCTGAGAGGGATCTCGGATGGAAGCAGGAGCCGGTGTCGAGGGTGGCGCAGAAACTTTTCCCTACATTTGTAGATGAGGTCATGGTAAAGATCAGAGAGAGCCGAGAGGGTCAGTGTGTTGAGTGCTTCTTGATATGTGGAGTCGGAAGAGGAGAGAATAATCTTTCATGCCCTTTTCTGCACTTTTTCTAGGTGTTTCCGTTTTGTAGGATTTAGGGGGGAAGACCAGGTAAGGGAAGCATAGGTGAGCTTGGGAAGTATGAATGTTGAGTAAGCGCCGAGGAGCTCGGGTGCAGGAACTCCGAGGGACTTGAGACGACGGAGGAGGTGGAGACGAAAACTGGAGGATTTGACAACCTCACTGACGTGTGGTTTCCAATTGATTTTGTTATCTATAGTGACACCGAAAACCTTGGAGTCCACAACCTGGACTGTGTTAGGGACCAATGTAATGGAGGGAGGTGGGAGGTTAGAGGAGAGGTTGATGTGCAGCCCTTTGGTCTTGGTATGGATGGTGACCCAATTTTGGAGACTGTTCAATATAGTATTCTGGAGGGCGGTGTAGTCGGGAGCCGAGTTGTTCACACTGATCCCAGTGGTGGAGTCGTCGACATATTTCCAGCGAGCAGGGGCTTCTCTTAGGGCATCATTGATAAGCATAAGGAAGCATAGTGGTCCCATCTTGGTGCCTTGGGGGACGCCACAGGTAAGTGACTGAAAGGTGGAGACAGCCCCTCGGAAGCGTACAGCTTGGCGTCGGTCACTGAGGAAATCTGTAAGCCATGGTATAAGACTTCTCTGAAACCCGAGGTCGATAGCTTTGTTGATGATTAAATTGTGGTCGACTACTGGAGATGGAATGCCTTGGTGAGGTCAATGAAATGCAACAGCCACAGACGTAGTGAAAATGCAAGCGCGCGCGCGTGTAATAATAATAATAATAATAATAATTAACGGTTTATTGAAAGAGCTTGGCAGCCAGAAGGCTGAAAATATACAGTTACATATTTGGGGAATGGGTTACGAATTACAAATAATATACAAGTAACATAAGTGACACAAATAAGACATATAATAACTTAGATGGGGATCAGCTCAAACTACAGTTCATTTCAACATAGTGACAGTGTAAGGAGCAGTGTTTACCGGGAGTGAATACACTGATTTATTACATGTTATTGATAATTTTTACAATGGTTGGGACTGGGCTGTTCTTATAGCGATCAGTTCGTGCACGTATGGGCTGGATGCGGTTGTGGTGTCGAACAGCAATTCTCGGACAGGGGATGTCAGGTGGTAGTAGGAGCCGGTGTCGGGGATGGTGTAGAAGCTTCTTACCAAATTTGCAGATGAGGTCGTGGTGATGGTCAGTGAGAGTCGAAAGGGTCAGTGTGTTGAGCGCTTCTTGATATGTGGAGTAGGAAGGGGAGAGAATAATTTTGCATGCCCTCTTTTGCACTTTTTCTAGGTGTTTACGTTGTGTGGCATTTAGGGAGGAAGACCAGGTGGGGGAGGCATAGGTGAGCTTGGGAAGTATGAATGTTGTGTATATACTGAGGAGCTCGTGTGCAGGAACTCCGAGGGACTTGAGTCGGCGGAGCAGGTGGAGACGGAAACTGGAGGCTTTGACAACTTCACTGACGTGTGGTTTCCAATTTAGTTTGTGTGTGTGTGTGTGTGTGTGTGTGGCAACTAAGGATGTTATATTGCTTTTATTAATATAATATGATGAAAATTAGTTCACCTATGGTAAAAAAAAATTGTTTCATTAAAGGCGTTTTTTATTGTCATAACGTGGGTATACCTCAATTAGGTTAGGTTAGGTTAGTACCGGGTAATGATGCTACTCATATACAGGTTCAAAGTTTCGAGAAAAAAAGTATAAATGCAATACAGCCAAAAGTTATCTCTCGTAATGACTGTATTACTTTATAGTATAACACAACAACTGTACTCTCAACACCGTGACGTCATCACAACATACCTGGGGCAGGAGGGGCATGCGGGCGTGGGTGAGGGCGTTATGGTGGGTGTCAAGGGGCAGCTCGTTGGTGAGGATAGCGTGGGTGTGGGCGTTCCCTCCCAGGCCACCCACGCCCGTCTCCAGCATCTCCACGTCCTCCCATGGGTCCTCCAGTGATCTCTTATCGCCTGTAATACACGAGTTAACAACAACAACAACAATAATAACTAATAATAATATAATTAGTGTAAATATTATAAGTACAGGTATTATTACTTAATTATTATTATAAATGGTAGATTATACCAGTTAACAATTACTGTATATATCTCAACAGGTGGTGTAAGTAAGGCCTTAAGGATTAATATAGTATTATAAGTGATGGTGTACACAGTATGTCAAGGTGCACATAGTATAAGTCGCGGTGCACACAGATTAAATCATGGTGCACAGTAAAAGTGATGTCATGGAGCACACAGTATGTCATGGTGCACACATTGTCATGGTACACACAGTATGCCATAGTGCACACAGTATGTCATGGTGCACACAGTATGCCATGGTGCACACAGAATGTCATGGTGCACACAGTATGCCATGGTGCACATAGTATGTCATGGTGAACACAGTATGTCATGGTGCACACAGTATGCCATGGTGCACATAGTACGTCATGGTGCACACAGTATGTCATGGTGCACACTGTGTGTCATGGTGCACACAGTGTGTCATGGTGCACACAGTATGCCATGGTGCACACAGTATGGCATGGTGCACACAGTGTGTCATGGTGCACACAATATGTCATGGTGCACACAGTATGCCTTGGTGCACACAGTATGTCATGGTGCACACAGTATACCATGGTGCACACAGTATGTCATGGTGCACACAGTGTGTCATGGTGCACACAGTATGTCATGCTGCACACAGTATGCCATGGTGCACACAGTATGTCATGGTGCACACAGTGTGTCATGGTGCACACAGTGTGTCATGGTGCACACAGTATGTCATGGTGCACACAGTATGCCATGGTGCACACAGTATGCCATGGTGCACACAGTATACCATGGTGCACACAGTATACCCCCACCACAAAAGTGAACAACACGCGTTATACTCACGTGACTGGGAGCTCAGGTCCGCCTCCCTGGTGTAGCGCTTGTAGTGGCCACCCTTGCCGTGGGCGGGGTTTCTGTGGGCGTTCTTGGGGTGTGGGTGGGGGGTGCGGATGTGGGAGAAGTTGAGGGCGGAGACCCCCAGGGCGGCCAGATCTAGGATGGCGGGGTCACTACTGTACACCAGCAGCAGGGGCGGAGTCTTGGACAAGTGGCTCCCTTCCACCCACTCACGCCCGACATAACGCCCACGACGTAGTTCCTCCACCCTCACGCCTACTCGCCCACGCTCCTCTATCCTCCCTTCACCGTCGCCACCCATTGCCTCCCTCACAGCCCGCGTCACCTCAACCTCCTGCAGAATAACACCAACATAAATTACCTTAATAAATGTTGATATTAGTATTAAAACTCCTTCAATAATCACTTGCGGAGGACCTGGCAGGGAGAGCAGTGAAGGAAACTGTTGTAGTCTGTGATACTTCAGGAGTTACGACAGAGGCATCCTGATTCTAAGTCCCTCTCTTGGGTCTTATCTCTACCTGCATGGTGAGGTGAGTCAGGGAAGGTACTCAGTGTACGCGACTCAGGAGCGGAAGTGTGTGTGTGGATTGTTCAGGCATACCTGGCCTGATGCATACTATTTCCTGTAATGGCGACAACCCACTCTCTGAAATGCAACTCGTGTGTGTGTGTGTGTGTGTGTGTGTGTGTGTGTGTACAATTCAATTATCAGCAGACAACCTTCACAGTTTTTTTAACATTTTGTCAGTTTTATGAAAATCTCTCCCGGCTCACTGAATAACTGACCCACCGAGAGATTTTCCTTCTGGTCACAGCTGCCTGGCATACACTATTACAGGAATAACAATGATATTTCAGAATTTGTTTACAAATATAAGCCTCTCCTTGCTTCCACTTCCTCTCCTTCCTTCTCCAAATTTTTCCCTCTTATTGATTTCCATTTCCCTTCCTCCCTCATACACAACATAAAGAATTACGAATTTCTTCATATCAATGTGTTTTATTTGGATTCAGTGAAGCAGTACGATAAGTTTGCCTATGTGTAGACGGCAGCCGTCGTCCACCACTCATCACCAAACAATTCTTAAGACACTGTGTTGGCCAGTCTTGGTCAGCTTAATCTTCCGCTTGACCTGAACTGACCAATGTTCAAGGAACATTTTCATCACTTGAAGATTAGCCCCCATGCCCTGGTTTAGTTCACTTAATGATTAAACACCCTAACGCAACCTGGGGCAGGGGTCAAGTTAGGTTAGGTTGGGATAGGATAGGATAGAGTTAGATTAGGAAAGGTTAGGCTAGGTTAGGTTAACAATAGGGTGGTTAATCTCAGCATAAATAAAAGCTGGGGTGGCTATTCTTAACGTAATTTTTTTAAGTGAAGAATAACGAAGCTGAGGAACAATTCTTTGTCTTGTGTTCATTAAACTATTTTATCTAACACAGATCAAACATTTCCCTTGGGATTAACTTTTTTACTTAACACTTGGGATTATAAGCAACTCTATACTAATGGAACCTTTAAGTAGAAGATTTGTCCTAAGTAGAATTCCGCCTGCCCATAAGTTGAGTGACTCGATTATAAGTTTACAACTCTCTGGTTAAGTAGTTTTAAGGTCCACTTACATTCTTATCGAGGTTAACACAACACTCTCTCCTACTCCTCCTCGTCACTACTCTCTCACTCCTCCTGTTTCTCTACTCTCTCACTCCACCCCCTCCTCCACTCTCTCACTCCTCCTTCTCCTCTACTTTCTCACTCCTCCTTCTCTACTCTCTCACTCCTCCTTCTCTACTCTCTCACTCCTCCTTCTCTACTCTCTCACTCCTCCTTCTCTCTCTCTCCTCTCCTCCTTCTCCTCTACTCTCTCCTCCTCCTTCTCCTCTCTCTCCTCCTTCTCTACTCTCCTCCTCACCTACTCTCACTCCTTCTCTACTCTCTCCCTCCTCCTTCTCTACTCTCTCACTCCTCTACTCTCTCCTCCTTCTCCTACTCTCTCCTCCCTTCTCTCTCTCTCCTCCTCCTTCTCTACTCTCCTCCTCTACTCTCTCCTCCTCCTCCTTCTACTCTCTCCTCTCCTTCTCCTACTCTCTCCTCCCTCTACTCTCTCACTCCTTCTCTCTCTCCTCTCCTTCTCTCTCTCTCCTCCTCCTTCTCTACTCTCTCACTCCTCTACTCTCTCCTCCTCCTTCTCCTCTCTCCTCCTCCTTCTCTCTCTCCCACTCCTCTCTCTCTCCTCCTTCTCTCTCTCACTCCTCCTCTCTCTCTCTCCTCCCTCCTTCTCCTACTCTCTCCTCCTCCTTCTCTACTCTCTCACTCCTCTACTCTCTCCCTCCTCTTCTCCTACTCCCCTCCTCTACTCTCTCCTCCTCTTTCTCTCCTCCTTCTCTACTCTCTCCTCCTCTCTCTCCTCCTCCTTCTCCTCTCTCTCCTCCTTCTCCTCTCTCTCTCCTACCCTCCTTCTCTACTCTCTCACTCCTCCTTCTCTACTCTCTCCTCTCCTTCTCTACTCTCTCCTCCTCTACTCTCTCCTCCTTCTCTACTCTCTCCTCCTTCTCCTCCTCCTTCTCCTCTCTCCTCCTTCTCTACCTCTCCTCCTCCTTCTCTACTCTCCCACTCCTTCTTCTCTCTCTCCCTCCTTCTCTCTCTCCTCCTCCTTCTCTCTCTCTCTCCTCCTTCTCTACTCTCTCCACTCCTCCTTCTCTACTCTCTCCTCCTCCTTCTCCCTCCCTCCTCCTCTACTCTCTCCACTCCTTCTCTCTCTCCCTCCCTCCTTCTCTACTCTCTCCTCCTTCTCCTCTCTCTCTCCCACTTCTTCTCTCTCTCTCCCTCCTTCTCTACTCTCTCCTCCTCCTTCTCTACTCTCCTCCTTTTCCTACTCTCTCACTCCTTCTCTCTCTCCCTCCTCCTCTACTCTCTCCTCCTTCTCTACTCTCTCCTTCTCCTTCTCTACTCTCCTCCTCCTTCTCTCTCCCCTCCTCCCCTTCTCTACTCTCCCCTCCTTCTCCTCTCTCTCTCCTCCTTCTCTTCTCTCTCACTCCTTCTCTACTCTCTCCTCCCTCCTTCTCTACTCTCTCCTCCTTCTCTACTCTCTCACCCCTTCTCTACTCTCTCCTCCCTCCTTCTCTACTCTCTCCTCCCTCCTTCTCTACTCTCTCACTCCTCTACTCTCCTCCTCCCCTCTCTCACTCCTCCTTCTCTACTCTCTCCTCCTCCTTCTCTACTCTCTCACTCCTTCTCTACTCTCTCCCTCCTCCTTCTCTTCTCTCTCCTCCCTTCTCTACTCTCTCCTCCTTCTCCTCTCCCTCCTTCTCTACTCTCTCCTCCTCCTTCTCTACTTTCTCCTCCTCCTTCTCTACTCTCTCCTCTCCTTCTCTACTCTCTCCTCCTCCTTCTCTACTCTCCTCCTTCTCCTACTCTCTCCTCCTTCTCCTCTACTCTCTCCTCCTTCTCCTCTCTCTCTCCCCCTCCTTCTCTACTCTCTCTCCTTCTCTTCTCTCTCTCCTCCTCCTTCTCTCTCTCTCCTTCTCCTCTCTCCTCCTCCTTCTCTCTCTCTCCTCCTCCTCTCTACTCTCTCCTCCTTCTCTCTACTCTCTCCCTCCTTCTCTACTCTCTCCTCCTCCTTCTCCTACTCTCTCCTTCTCTACTCTCTCCTCCTTCTCTACTCCCTTCTTCTCTCTCTCCTCCTCCTTCTCTACTCTCTTCTCCTCTACTCTCTCCTCCTTCTCTCTCCTCTCCTCCTCCTTCTCTACTCTCTCCTCTTCCTCTACTCTCTCCCACTTCTTCTCTCCTCCTTCTTCTCTACTCTCTCTCCTCCTCTTTCTCTCTCTCCTCCTCCTTCTCTATTCTCTCCTCCTTCTTCTCCTACTCTCTCACTCCTCCTTCTCTACTCTCTCCTCCTCTTCTCTACTCTCTCCTCCTCCTTCTCCTACTCTCTCCCCTTCTCTACTCTACCTCCTCCTTCTCTCTCCCTCACTTCTTCTCTACTCTCCTCCTCCTTCTCTGCTCTCCCCTCCTCCTTCTCCTAATCTTCCCTCCTTCTCCTCTCTCTCCCTCTTCTCTACTCTCTCCTCCTCCTTCTCTACTCTCTACTCCTCTTCTCCTCTCTCTCCTCTCTACTCTCTCCTCCTCCTCTCCTCTCCACTCCTCCTTCTCTACTCTCTCCTCCTCCTTCTCTACTCTCCTCCTCCTTCTCTACTCTCTCCTCCTCTACTCTCCCACTCCTCTCTCCTCCTCCTTCTCTCTCTCACCTCTCCTTCTCTACTCTCTCCTCCTCCTTCTCTCTCTCCTCCCTCCTTCTCTCTCTCTCGCTCCTCCTTCCTCTCTCTCTCCACTCCTTCTCTACTCTCCTCCCCTCCTTCTCTACTCTCTCAATCCTCCTTCTCTACTCTCTCACTCCTCTACTCTTTTCCTCCTTCTCTACTCTCTCCTCCTCCTTCTCTACTCTCTCCTCCTCCTTCTCTACTTTCTCCTCCTCCTTCTCTACTCTCCTCTCTCCTCTCTCACTTCTTCTCTACTCTCTCCTCCTCCTTCTCTCTCTCTCCTCCTCCTTCTCTCTCTCCTTCTCTCTCTCTCCCTCCTCTACTCTCTCCCTTCTTCTCTCTCTCTCACTCCTCCTTCTCTCTCTCTCCCACTCCTCTCTCTCTCACTCCTTCTCTACTCTCCTCCTCCTTCTCTATTCTCCCTCTCTCCTTTCCTCTCTCCTCCTTCTCTACTCTCTCACACCCTCCTTCTCTACTCTCTCCTCCTCCTTCTCTCTCTCTCCAATCCTCCTTCTCTACTCTCTCCTCCTTCTCTACTCTCCCTCCTCCTTCTCTACTCTCTCCACTCCTCCTCTCTCTCTCCTCCTCCTTCTCCTACTCTCTCCTCCTCCTTCTCTGCTCTCTCCACTCCTCTCTCTCTCCTTCTTCCTCCCTCTCCTCCTCCTTCTCTCTCTCTCCTCCTCCTTCTCTCTCCCCTCCTCCTTCTCTACTCTCTCCTCCTCCTTCTCTACTCTCTCACTCCTCCTTCTCTCTCTCTCCCTCCTCATCTCTCCTTCTCTCCTCCTTCTCTACTCTCCCTCCTCCCTCTCTCCCTCCTCTCTCTCTCCCACTCCTCCTTCTCTACTCTCTCCCCACTCCTCTACTCTCTCACTTCTCTACTCTCTCCCCTCCTTCTCTCTCTCCTCCCTCCTTCTCTCTCTCTCCTCCTCTCTACTCTCTCCTCCCTTCCCCTCTCTCTCACTTCTTCTCTACTCTCTCTCCTCCTTCTATCTCCCCTCCCTTCTCCTCTCCCCTCCTCTTCTCTCTCTCTCCTCCTTCTCTACTCTCTCCTCCTTCTCTCTCCCCTCCTCCTTCTCTCTCCTCCTCCTTCTCTACTCTCTCCTCCTCCTTCCTCTACTCTCTCACTCCCTCCTTCTCTCTCTCCTCCTTCTCTCTCTCCTCCTCCTTCTTCTCTACTCTCCTCCTCCTCCTTCCTACTTCTCCTCTCCTCCTCTACTCTCTCCTCTCCCTTCTCTACTCTCTCACTCCTTCTCTACTCTCTCCTCCTTCTCCTCTCTCTCTCCTCCTTCTCTACTCTCCTACTCCTCCTTCTCTCTCTCTCCTCCCTCCTTCTCTGCTCTCTCACTCCTTCTCTACTCTCTCACTCCTCTACTCTCCTTCTTCTCTACTCTCTCACTCCTTCTCTCTCTCTCCTTCTTCTCTACTCTCTCCTCCTCCTTCTCTCTCCTTCTCCTCTACCTCTCTCCTTCTCCTACTCTCTCCCTCCTTCTCTACTCTCTCCTCCTTCTCTCTCTCTCTCCTCCTCCTACTCTCTCCTCCTTCTCTCCTCCCTCTCTCCCTCCCTTCTCTACTCTCTCCTCCTTCTCTACCTCTCATCATTCTCTCCTCCTTCTCTACACTCTCTCATTATCTCCTCCTTCTCTACCTCTCATTATCTCCTCCTTCTCACTCTCTCATTCTCCTCCTTCTCTACACTCTCATTATCTCCTCCTTCTCCTCTCTCATTATCTCCTCCCCTTCTCTACACTCTCTCATTATCTCCTCCTTCTCTACACTCTCTCATTATCTCCTCCTTCTCTACACTCTCTCATTATCTCCTCCTTCTCTACTCTCTCTCATTATCTCCTCCTTCTCTACTCTCTCTCATTATCTCCTCCTTCTCCTACACTCTCTCTCATTCTCTCCTCCTTCTCTACACTCTCTCATTATCTCCTCCTTCTCTACTCTCTCATTATCTCCTCCTTCTCTACTCTCTCCTTCTCTCTCCTTCTCCCCTTCTCTTACTCTCCTCCTTCTACTCTCTTACTATCTCCTCTTCTCTACCTCTCTCATTCTCCTCCTTCTCCCCACTTCTCTTTTATCTCCTCCTTCTCTACTCTCTCATTATCTCCCTTCCCCATTCTCTACCTCCTCATCATTCTCCATTCCTTCCCCTCTCATATCTCCTCCTTCTCTACACTCATCATTATCTCCTCCTTCTCTACACTCTCATTATCTCCTCCTTCTCTACACTCTCATCTCCTCCTTCTCTACACTCTCTCATTATCTCTCCTCTCTCATTATCTCCTCATCTCTCTACCTCTCTCATATCTCCCTCCTTCCTACACTTTCTCTATTATCTTCCTCCTTCTCTACACTCTCTCATTATCTCACCTTCTTCACTCTCTACATCTCCTCCTTCTCTACACTCTCATTATCTCCCTCCTTCTCCTACACTCTCATCATTCTCTTCTCTATTCTCCTTCTCTATCTCCTCATTACTCTACTCTCTCCTTATTCCTCTACACTCCTCATTTATCTTTACTCTCATCTCTCCTTCTCTTCTCCTTCTCACTCTCTCATTATCTCCTCCTTCTCTACACTCTCTCTCCTTATCTCCTTCTCTACCTCTCTCATTATCTCCTCCTTCTCTACTCTCTCATTATCTCCTCCTTCTCTACACTCTCTCTATCTCCTCCTTCTCTCACTCTCTCATATCTCCTCCTTCTCTACACTCTCATTATCTCCTCCTTCTCTACACTCTCATTTATCTCCTTCTCCCTCACTCTCTCATTATCTCCTCCTTCTCTACACTCTCTCATTATCTCCTCCTTCTCTCTACCTCTCATCATTATCTCCTTTCCTCCTTCTCCACTCTCTCTATTATCTCCTCCTTCTCTACTCTCATCATTATCTCCTCCTTCTCTACACTCTCTCATTATCTCCTCCTTCTCTACACTCTCCCTCATTATCTCCTCCTTCTCCTCTCATCATTATCTCCTCCTTCTCTACCTCTCTCATTATCTCCTCCTTCTCTACACTCTCTCATTATCTCCTCCTTCTCTACACTCTCATCATTATCTCCTCCTTCTCTACCTCTCATCATTATCTCCTCCTACTCTACACTCTCTCATTATCTCCTCCTTCTCCTCTCATCATTATCTCCTCCTTCTTTACCTCTCATCATTATCTCCTCCTTCTCTACACTCTCTCTTATTATCTCCTCCTTCTCTACACTCTCATCATTATCTCCTCCTTCTCTACACTCTCTCATTATCTCCTCCTTCTCTACACTCTCATATTATCTCTCCTTCTACACTCTCAATCTCCTCCTTCTCTACACTCTCTCATTATCTCCTCCTTCTCTACACTCTCTCATTATCTCCTCCTTCTCTACACTCTCTCATTATCCTCCTTCTCTACACTCTCTCATTATCTCCTCTTCTCTACCTCTCATCATTATCTCCTCCTTCTCTACACTCTCTCATTATCTCCTCCTTCTCTACACTCTCTCATTATCTCCTCCTTCTCTACACTCTCTCATTATCTCCTCCTTCTCTACACTCTCTCATTATCTCCTCCTTCTCTACACTCTCATCATTATCTCCTCCTTCTCTTCTCTCATATCTCCTCCTTCTCTACACTCTCATTATCTCCTCCTTCTCTACACTCATCATTATCTCTTCTCTACACTCTCTCATTATCTCCTCCTTCTCTACACTCTCTCATTATCTCCTCCTTCTCTACTCTCATTATCTCCTCCTTCTTTACCTCTCATCATTATCTCTCCTTCTCTACACTCTCTCATTATCTCCTCCTTCACTCTCTCATTATCTCCTCCTTCTCTACACTCTCATATCTCCTCCTTCTCTACACTCTCATTATCTCCTCCTTCTCTACACCTCTCTCATTATCTCCCTCCTTCTCTACACTCTCATCATTACTCCTCCTTCTCTACACTCTCTCATTATCTCCTCCTCTCTACACTCTCTCATTATCTCCTCCTTCTCTACACTCTCATCATTATCTCCTCCTTCTCTACACTCTCATTATCTCCTCCTTCTCTACACTCTCATCATTATCTCCTCCTTCTACACTCTCTCATTATCTCCTCCTTCTCTACACTCTCATTATCTCCTCCTTCTCACTCTCATCATTATCTCCTCCTTCTCTACCTCTCATCATTATCCTCCTTCTCTACACTCTCTCATTATCTCCTCCTTCTCTACACTCTCATCATTATCTCCTCCTTCTCTACACTCTCATTATCTCCTCCTTCTCTACCTCTCATCATTATCTCCTCTTCTCTACACTCTCTCATTATCTCCTCCTTCTCTACACTCTCTCATTATCCTCCTTCTCTACACTCTCATCATTATACCCACCTTCTCTACACTCTCATCATTATCTCCTCCTTCTCTACACTCTCTCATTATCTCCTCCTTCTCTACACTCTCATTATCTCCTCCTTCTCTACACTCTCTCATTATCTCCTCCTTCTCTACACTCTCATTATCTCCTCCTTCTCTACACTCTCATCATTATCTCCTCTTCTCTACACTCTCTCATTATCTCCTCCTTCTCTACACTCTCTCATTATCTCCTCTTCTCTACACTCTCTCATTATCTCCTCCTTCTCTACTCTCTCATTATCTCTTCCTTCTCTACACTCTCTCATTATCTCCTCCTCTCGTGACATTTCTCTACTTTTTCCTTCTTTTCTCTTCATCATATTTCTCCTACCCCAACTATCTCATCATCATCATCATATTTTTTTATCATTATCTCATTTTCTATCTTTATTATACACCCTCCTGCTATAATTCTCTTAACCTTCTTTCCTTCCTTCCTTCCTTCTCCTTCCTTCCTTCCTTCCTTCCTTCTTATCATGTTCTACCTACTTATTTGCCCTCTTTACTTCACCTCCTCTTCATTCTCTTACCATCTTTACAGGACAATGATTGGTGAACCACACACACACACACACACACACACACACATACACACACACACACACACACACACACACACACACATAAACATCTTTACGTCTTATATTACAAAACCCAGAACAAAAAAAAAAAAAATCATAGAAAAAAAATAATAACTTGTATTTCTTTTCTCTCCATAGGTAAGGTGACACCTGTCCGCTAACGGACACTACCTGCGTGGTAATTATGTTCGGGCTAATTATGACTACGTGTTTAATTGGACGGACTGATGGACGGGCGGACAGGCGAATGACAAGAGATAATGGAATTTATTTCCCGGTATAATGAAATAATTGCTCTAATGGTGTTGATGGTGTTGATAGTGTTAATGGGTAGTGTTAATGGTGTTGGTGGTGTTAATAGTTGAGTGGTAATGGTGTTGATGGTGGTAATGGTGTTGGTGGTGGTAATGGTATTAATTAGTGTTGATGTTGTTGATAGTGTTAATGGTGTTATGTTAATGGTGTTATATTAATGGTGTTGTTAATAGTGTTGTGTTGGTGGTGTTATATTAATGAATTTAAATCTATTAGGGTTGAAGTCTTAGGTATTTTATGATGGTATGAAGAGAGAGAGAGAAAAAGAGAGGAATAGACAAGTATAGACAGACAAACAAGGAGACAGACGGACACACTGACAGATATACAGAGACAGACACAAACAGATTTACACATAACATACAAGCAGACAGACTGGCAGACACAGACTGGCAGACACAGACAGCAGACACAGACAAAGGAACAAACTGTCAACAAACTCCAGGTAGCCATCATGGAGAGGCAGGTGTGTAGGACATAACATTAATTAACCTCATTCCCCGTCACAGGTGTGCCCCTCTCCACACCTGTGTCCTGTGACAATCACACTGTTAGGTCGACACACACTATTTTGATGTTCCAGTATTATGCCGTAACTGCTTTCGAGTCTCGTAATCTTGGTCGAGTGTCGATTTGTCTTGAGAACTCACTTGAATATCGGAATCAGATGTCGAATATCGGGACCTCTGTTGACTGTCGAATACTCCTGAATATTCCATCGTATTGTAAACCTCCACCCAATGTTGAATACTCTTCAATACTCAGTCGAATATCGTAACCTCTATCGACCGTCAGATACTCCATTGGGTATCGTAGCCTCAACCAAAAACATCACCAATATTCTGCCGTAAATCGTAATTGACAGCCTTGGCCCACCCCCTTCTCCCTCCCTCATTCTCCCTTCCATCTCTCTTCCCCCCTCCCCCCTTCTCCCTCCTCATTCTCCCTCCCCTCCCTTCTCCCTCCCTCATTCTCCCTCCCTCCCCTTCTCCCTCCTTCATTCTCCCTTCCATCTCCCTCTTCCCCCCTTCCCCCCTTCTCCTTCCCTTCCTTCCTTCCCCCATGCCTTCCCCTCCTCTTTCCTTCTCTTCCTTCCCTTTTCCTCCTCTCTTCCTTCCCTCCTCTTCCTCATTCTCCTTTCTCCTCCCTTCCTCCTTTTCCCTCCCCCCTTCCCCTTCTCCCTTGCCTCATGAAGGTAGAGCTGCCACACCTCAAACACCAGCTTAACTTTTCCCGCCTCTCCCAAGTTTACATCCAGTATCAGCTTAACTTTCACCAAGCTTTCTCTCCTATTAGTCAACTTTCCACCAAGCTTTCTCTCCTATTAGTCAACTTTCCACAAGCTTTCTTTTATCTCAGTTTCTTCTTTGATTGTAATTACGTATTTTATTCCTTGTTTAAGTGTGTGTGTGTGTGTGTGTGTGTGTGTGTGTGTGTGTGTGTGTGTGTGTGTGTGTGTGTGTGTACTAAGGTCCCTCAGGCTACCGTCCCCTCATACATATTTTACACTATAATCACAAGTTAGCCAGCCTGGGCCCACCCCTTACCCTCTCTCTCTCTCTCTCTCTCTCTCTCTCTCTCTCTCTCTCTCTCTCTCTCTCTCTCTCTCTCTCTCTCTCTCTCTCTCTCTCTGGAGATAATTTTTAGCGTATATCCACTTTATAAAATTAAAGTTATATTTTCGTTAAAACTCAAAGTTCACAAAGAAAAACGCACCATGAAGTTCTTAAACAAAAGAAAAACAAGAATAAAAACAAATATAAAACCCTTTAAGAGATTAATTAAGGGAATTTATTTTATTTATTTATTTATTTATTTATTTATTTATTTGTTTATTTTTCTGTATTTATTTATTAATTTATTTTTATTATTTATTTATTTATTTTATCTTTCTTTCTTTGTATTTTTCTTTCTTATCTTCTTCTATTCTTTTGTTCTTGATATTTTCTCTTTATTTTTTATTTACTTCTTCCTTCTTTATTTTTTTCCTCTATTTCTTCATTCATCTTTCTTTCTTCTTATTTATTTATTTATTTATTTTATCTCTCTCTCTCTCTATCTCCTTCTTTCATTCTTTCTTACTTATCCTCCTTCCCCTCCTCACCTCCCTCCTCACCCCTCCCTCCACCCTCCCCCTCACTAGCGTCATAACTCCAAGATAAAAATAATTATATTCTCCTCAAGTTTTGGAGGCGACGCGGTAAACTATCTCTTGACGTCGGCTATGTGGAAATCAGAGCGAGGGCGGAGGTGCGGGAGAGGCGAGAGTTTGGTGGCGGGTGAGAGAGAGATAGAGAGAGAAGCGATGGGGAGAGAGAAGAGAGAGAGAGATTTTGTTGTGTTAGGAAAGTGAAAAGTTGGAAATAGTTGTACTGGGTGGAGGTTTTGTTGGAATTGTTGGTCTGGGTGGTGGAATGGGTGGAAATTGTTGGTTTGGGTGGTGGAATGGGTGGAAGTGTTGGTTTGGGTGGTGGAATGGGTGGGGAATTGTTGGTTTGGGTGGTGGAATGGTTGAAGTGTTGGTCTGGGTGGTGGAATGGGTGAATTGTTGGTCTGGGTGGTGGAATGGGTGGAATTGTTGGTTTTGGTTGAGGAATGGGTGGAAATTGTTGGTCTGGGTGGTGGAATGGGTGAAATTGTTGGTCTGGGTGGTGGAATGGGTGGAAATTGTTGGTCTGGGTGGTGGAATGGGTGAAATTGTTGGTCTGGGTGGTGGAATGGGTGGAAATTGTTGGTTTGTTGAGGAATGGGTGGAAATTGTTGGTCTGGGTGGTGGAATGGGTGGAAATTGTTGGTTTGGGTGGTGGAATGGTGATTGGTGGGTGGTGGAATGGGTGGAAGTTCTGGGTGGTGGAATGGGTGGAAATTGTTGGTTTGGGTGGTGGAATGGGTGGAAATTGTTGGTCTGGGTGGTGGAATGGGTGGAAATTGTTGGTTTGGGTGGTGGAATGGGTGGAATTGTTGGTGTGGGTGGTGGAATGGGTGGAAATTCTTGGCCTCTGCCCACCACCCTCCTCGCCCCCCTCCAGCACCACCCCTCCTTCACCAACACCACCCTCCCTCACCACCCCTCCCTCACCACCCCTCCTCACCCACCCTCCCCTCACCACCTCCCCTCCCACCACCCCTCCTCACCACCCCCTCCCTGCTTGTCCTCTTAGGCTAGTACCAAGTTTTTATAGTGATTGTGACATTGTTTCCTCCACTTCTTCCTTATTCCTTGTTCCTCCTTCTCCCTCCTTATTCCTCCTTCTCCCTCCTTGTTCCTCCTTCTCCCTCCTTGTTCCTCCTTCTCCCTCCTTGTTCCTCCCTTCTCCCTCCTTATTCCTCCTTCTCCTCCTTGTTCCCTTCCCTCCTTGTTCCTCCTTCTCCTCCTTGTTCTCCTTCTCCCTCCTTATTCTCCTTCTCCTCCTTGTTCCTCCTTCTCCTCCTTGTTCCTCCTTCTCCCCTCCTTGTTCCTTATTCCTCCTTATCCTTCAATGTTCCTCCTTCTCCTTCCTTGTTCCTCCTCCTTCCTTGTTCCTCCTTCTCCTTCTTTGTTCCTCCTTCTCCTCCCTTGTTCCTCCTCCTCTTTGTTCCTCCTCCTTCCTTGTTCCTCCATCTCCTTTCTTATTCCTCCATCTCTTTCCCTTCTCTCTTCCTCTCCTTTATTCCTCCTCCGTCTCTTTTCACGCCTTTCTCCTCCTCTCCTCTTCCTTCTCTCTTCACTCCTTCTCACTCTCCTCCTCCTCTCCTCCTCTTCCTTCTCTCTTCACTCCTTCCCTCCTCCTCCTCTCTTCCTCCTCTCTTCCTCCCTCTCACCCTGCCCTCTCCACTCTGCTGTATACAACGGTCACATTCTAAGTGCCTATGATGGTGAGTGTGTGGTGAGTGTGTAGTGAGTGTGTGGTGAGTGTGTGGTGATGATGAATATGTGGTGGGGTGTGGTGGTTGTGGTGAATGTGTGGTGTTGGTGGTTGTGGTGAGTGTGTGGTTCATTCATTTTTCCTTCCCTCCTTCCTTCACCCTCTCTTTCCTTCCTCCCTCCTCCCTGTACATCAATCCTCTCCCTCCTACTTTCCTTCATAAATTTCCCTCCTCATGTGTACTCCTATTCTTCACTCCCTCCCTCTTTCCCTCCTCCCTCCTCTTTCCCTCCTTCCTCCCTCTTTCCCTCCTCCCTCCTCCTCTTTCCCTTCTTTCCTTCCCTCTCCTCTTTCTCTTCTTCCTTCCCTCCCTCCTTCTCTTTCATACCACACTCACCCCTTCCCTCACTCTCCCTCACACACACCTCCCCCTTCCTCACTCTCCTCACACCACACCCTCCCCTTCCTTCCCTCACGCTCTGAATGCCAGTGTAGGCCATCACCATAACTCTCCCCTTCCCCTCCCCTTCCCCTCCCATATGGTCTTTATCTCCCTATTATTAGCTTTCCCTCAGGTACTTACTCCACCCATTCCCCTTCTCCCCTTACTCCCCTCTCTTACCCCCCATCACTTCCTCCCCTTTCTTCCCCCCCAATAATTCCCTCCCTTTCTTACATCCCCATTTACTCTTTCCACTCATCTGTTTCCTTTCTTTCCCTCCTCTTTCTCTCTCCTCCCTTCCCCATTACTCATTTGTTCATCTTCCTTTTCCCATTCTTCCTCACCTCCTACCTACCCATTCACCATCTTTTCCCCATTTCCCCCTTCCTTGTCTCCTCCCATTCCCTACCATCCTTTGCCCTTCCCATCCTCTATTACTTCTTCCCCCCTCCCTCCCCTCCCCCTCCCCTCTCCTCCCCATACCCATTCCCCATTAGGAGGAGGTAACTAGGAAGATGTTGTTATTGCTCGAGTCCCCAGGGGAAGGTGAGGGGGGAGGGGAGAGACGGGGAGGAGAGAGAGGGGGGAGCTGGGAAATGAGTTAGTGGGGAGGCCAAAGGTAATGGACTGAAGGGGAAGGAGGGGTGGGAGGGGAAAGACGGGAGTGGGAGGAGAGGTTGGTATAGGGGAAGAAAGGGAAGGGAGGAGAGAGAAGAGATGGAGAAAGGGAGGAGCAGGGAAGAGAGAGAGAGAGAGAGAGAGAGAGAGAGAGAGAGAGTCACCTGCTCCAAGTCCTCACGACAGCTTGTAACTGACGAAATTATTCAGTATCGTCAAGGCCTCGTTACAGTCACCCCGGGTACAGTTGGCCCCTTAACTGTATTTTGGGTTACCTGTCTATCGGTTAAATGTTCACCAGTTAAAGTTTATACCAGTTAGATCTCCGCCAGTTAGTGTCGACCAATCAGACTCGACCAGAACATAGTTGTCTGTCAGCGTTTAGACTTATCTCAACTATGTATTAAAGCTGAACGAAATTCGAGTTTGTGGCATTTGGGTTCCTGGGAAATTTATCTGGTGGTAATTTGGTTCCTGGGAAATTTATCTGGTGGTAATTTGGTTCCTGGGAAATTTATCTGGTGGTAATTTGGTTCATGGGAAATTTATCTGGTGGTAATTTGGTTCCTGGGAAATTTATCTGGTGGTATTTTAGTACCTGGGAAATTTATCTGGTGGTAATTTGGTTCCTGGGAAATTTATCTGGTGGTAATTTGGTTCCTGGGAAATTTATCTGGTGGTAATTTGGTTCCTGGGAAATTTATCTGGTGGTATTTTGGTTCCTGGGAAATTTATCTGGTGGTAATTTGGTTCCTGGGAAATTTATCTGGTGGTATTTTGGTTCCTGGGAAATTTATCTGGTGGTAATTTGGTT